TGCAATCAAACCACTATAGCCTCTCCCCAAGAAGAGCAACCCTGAATTTTCGGGTATGTTGGAAGACTCTATCACGAGTCTGTTCTGCTCTTGATAGAGCAGGATTCTGTGACATTTTACATTGCCTATAACAAATCATTCCTTTTTCACTATGTTGGTTCAGGGATATTGAAGCTGAACAATTTATTATGTTCTTGATATCAAAATAACTATTAGTTTGTAGCTGGGGAAATTAGTGACTGCAGAGCGCAAGGTTCATAACTAGTTTCCGTGTTATTGATTATAAGGGTAATTCTCACTTATGCTGTCATGTTGCATTCTAATTCTATTTGCCTTCTCCTGCTCTTGTCATGTGTATTTACTAGTATGTATTTATTTGGCATATAGGGGCTCTTGGCTTGGGAAGCAAAGACAGATTTGTGTGATGCAGCAGCAGAAAGGAACAATCATTTACAGAGCAATGGTAACAATTAAAACAGGGAAGGGGAAATGTGCTTGGAGTGGACTTACAAATACATTGCCCTTTTATTTTGGCGTAGGCAGGTGCATTGTTGGCTGCATTCTTCTTCCTTCCCATTGACTACAATGTGTGTGAAAGAGAAAGAGTTAACTGGACTCCTTTCTGCGGTCTTATTTGGGAAATTAAAGGTTTTGTACATGACATATCCATGCCCATCCTCAATGTGACCTGTTCATTACTGCTTTTCTAGTTTAGTAAATTCTAGTGGAGTTTTCTGCTAACATGCCAATGAACAATGGCATAACTGGCATAGCACCATTTGTACTGGTGGACCAATATTCAAGCTGCTTCCAGCACCCCCAGTCCAGCTTTCCAGTGGGGCCTAGTTTGTACTCTTACTGTATTTGAGCCTTAGGACTACTTTAAGCATAATAATCTAGCTTTTCTCACATTTGGAAGCCATCAAAGAATACCAATATTTGTCTGGATTCCTGTTTCTGAACTGTCACATATTGGCAAGTGCTGTTTGCAGTTATATTTAGTATGTGTGCTTGCTTAATTAATTATAGTAGTTTGTTTATTTATTTATTTATTTATTTATTTTAAAATTGTATACTGTTCACTCAGCCGTGCTGACTCTCTGAATGGTTTACAAACAATAAAAGGCTGACAGTATATGAAATACAATTAAATACAACCAATAAAACATTCTGATTAAACAATAAGTAAAACTAAACAAGTTACAATATAAATAATTTAATAAATATAAAATCCCAATTAAAACTAATAAAAACAAGAATGAGAACAGAAAATAAAATGAAAATCTGGCTGTAGATATTAATATTAAAATGCTGAGTGAATAAAAAAGTTTTTATCTGACACCAGAACATGCATAGTATGGTGCCAGGCATACTTCTCTGGGGAACAAATTCCATAAACAAGATGCCATCACCGAAAAGGCCCTTCTCCAAGTAGCTGCTCTATTCACATCCTTTAAAGGTGGCTTCTGGAGAAGGACCTCCAAAGACAATCTTATAGTACGGATAGGTACATATGGGTGGAGACGTTCCTTCAGATAATCAGGTCCTAAGCCATTCAGGGCTTTGTGCATTAATATGAACACCTTGAAGCAGGCCTGGACTGCAACTGGTAACCAGTGAAGTTTGTACAGGGCTGATGATATATGA